GTGGTGTTGCAGGTGATGATGAAATAGCGACTCAGGCTGGCGACAGCACAACCAGTGCCGATGCCGAAGGGGCAAGGGATGGACACATTGCCACACTTGTTTCTGTTTGGTTCTTATACTGCAACTTCCATGTGATCACAATGTAGCTAGGCTTAAACCACATGTGTGCCACTGTGTTGTGTTGACCAACTGATGAATTATCTTAAGCTCCACACTCGCTGTCGTGTGTATCATGGCAACTAGCGAGACTTATTATTTGCACTTGATTTTTTTTCCTTCTTCTTTCTTGAGAGGATTTATGCTCTTAGGTGTGGAACCGCCTTATCATTGCTCAAGCTCTTTGAGTCGCGACTTGGCGAGTCGCCGCGAGCAACGTATAGTCGCCATAAGTCGCTGTATAGTCGCCATAAGTCGCTGTATAGTCGCGAGTCGCCCTGATTTTTGGAAAACTACTTGGCGATTAGTGGGCGACTATACAACGACTAATCAGCGACTCAAAAACCATGTCATTGCTGAAATTTCATTGTTGTTTGGTTCACAACCATGGTATGAATAAAGTATTTTCTGACGTTGGCAATTCATAAAACAGTTTGATGAATATGCAGGAAAATCAGAAGCGGTCCAGCCCCATCCTGAGCGAACACGCATTTGCTCATCAATCCCTGCAACCTGCAGAAACGAGAGGTGGCACAGAGGTGCGTATTCAGGATCACAAAACCATTTGGCTGTCACAGAAATAGCGAAGTGATACATTCCCAAGTCGAGTAAATAGCATAAAACTACTACTTTACAGGTTAGGGTTCCAAAAAACTACCGGTTTCAAATTTTTCGCTGATAACTACCAACTCAGGGGTCGGCTGTTTCAAAAAACCCAAATTGTTGAGTCTTTATCAGTTGATACCGATTATGACAGGTCGGGCCCACATGTAAAACACCGTTAGTTTGACCTTAGTTTGACCGTTAACTTACATGTGGGGCCCACACGTAAGTTTCCTCTTCCTCTCCATCTCTTCTCTTCCCTCCCCCTGTGTCTCCCGTCCCGGCCATCTCCCCTCCTGAGCCGGCGACCTCCCTCCCCTCCAGAGCCGGCGACCCCCCTCCCTTCCCAGGCCGGCGACCCTCTCCCCCGAGCCGGCGACC